TCTTCTGTAGATAATCTATGTAGCCCGCAATGCAAAGGACAACTTGGTGTCTTTTTATCACTTTGCTCGCATGAACAAAGCCCAGCCTGAAGCTGGAGACTGGAACAGCTTCTTCCAGAGATTCTTGGAAGGAAAAAGTATGTATGAAACCTTTGCCTTCTTTTTTAATACAGTGATAAATGAGCATTTATATTTATTGTGAGAAAAAAAAACAAAAAATAAATTCTCAGGTTTAAGGCTTAAAGAGCAACAATAATAACCTGCATCATTAATTTAACAAAATCAAGTATATCCAACTTATTTAATTTTTAAGCTTTCAAGTCGGGAAAAAAATTGAGTTGGGCAAACTTAAATAAATTGCTTTTTAGTATATGAAGCAATCCATTTATATTGTAGCTGCATTTTGTTTTTCAAGGGTAATTCCAACAGTCATTTGCTGAGAGTTAAAGTACAGGCTGCCTGTTAACCAAATGGAAACACAAAGACATTTATGCATGACACAGAGTAACAAATTAGTCTAGTTGTTTTTTTGGATCTGGGAGGAAGTGGGGGTACCTGAAGAGAACCACCACATGCACTGGGAGAACAGGCCATGTGGCAGGACCTATTTGTACCTCATTCCTAACAGGCAGCACTGCTACCAAGTGTGCCGCCATGTACCTTAGCTCAGCTTGCCTCTTATTTCACAATAATCTGAATGAAATGTCTCAGAAAGGTTTGCTTTAATCAAACAGGATTTAATTTTGAGGATCATTCCTGACTTAAATATTCCAATGTATAATGTTATTTTATTTTAAAGAGACAGCTTCCACTATTAAAGTTAATATAATTGGCCAAGTGTTGTCTAAAATGATGATTTAAGTTGTGTTCTTTGAATCTGGTGTAATTTGGAATCCATCTTGTTCATTTACTCTATATCAGGGGTCTTCTGTCCTGGTCCTCTGGACCCTCTATCCTGCAGTTTATAAGGATTTTCTGCACCCACACGGCTGGCATGAACAAAACTTCGATTAACAAGCATCTGCAGCCAATTATTGCAGCATGAGGAAGGAATACAATCATTTGATTGAGGTCTGTTGGAGCAGTGGTGTATCCAAAGCATGCCATGGGGGGACCTCAGTATTTGGCTTGGTTTTGTTAAAAAGGTGGCACTGAATAGTTTTTCTTGTGCTCCTTTAAGCTGGATTTATAAGAATTAAGAGACTTGAGTTGAAAGAGTTTGTCCTGTCTTCATGCGGATATACCTAATTCCTTCCCATTAAGCCCTCCCTGTTTTGCCATTATCCCAGTGGTGTTTGGCTCCTGGTACGAGCATGTAAATGGTTGGTGGAAGAAGAAACAAACCTACTCAAAAATCCACTACATGTTATATGAAAATATGATTGAGGTAATTAAGGTTTTAATCCTGCTCACATTCTCCTTATTTACACACGGCGAAGTGTTTTTCAAACAAAGGACATTTCTGATCATGTTTACAGGACACTGGACGTGAAATTGACAAACTCTGCAACTTTATTGGCTTATCTCCATCTGCCGAGGTGAAGGAAATGGTCAGGAGTGGAGTGCAGTTTGACAACATGAAAAAGAACAAGATGGCCAACTATTCCACACTGCCCATTATGGATTTTAAGGTTTCTCCCTTCATGAGAAAAGGTCTGATAAATAATTACATATTAAAGATTGAAAATATTTTCCAAACATGAGTGCAACCAACCTATGTCTGCCCTTCTACAGGAAAAGTTGGGGACTGGAAAAATTACTTTACTGTGGCTCAAAATGAAGCGTTTGATGAAGACTACAAGAGAAAGATGAAGGACAGCCCACTGCAGTTTCGCTTTGAATTCTGAGCAGGAGAAATGACAAAGAGGACCGCACTGAATAAATGATTTATACATTTAGACTAAAATGCTGTAGCCCAAAATGTGAGAAAAAAGGACAGGTGCTAATGTTGTGTTGAGTTGAAAAAACGACATGTAACACCAGTGATGTTGTTACTATTTACTAACCCTGGAGAATGTAAACCTGTAATAAACTCTATTATATATTTGTAATAAAAGATCGATTATTATTCACTGACAAAAGTATTATTTCGTCAAAACTTACACAAGTGCATTGTTTATAAGATTTTTGTTTTTGTTACGTCCACCAGGCTTGTTTGGTGGGGGTAACATTAAAGAAGACCACACAAGGATTTTCTTTAAAATAAAAATTTAATTTATTAAATTATACTAAAGAAACAAAACCTGAAAAAGGGATAAATAAAATGGGGAGTAAAAAATGGCTTAATGCAAACCAATAACTAAACAGAAGTAAGCAAATACAAACAAACCTAACAGAACCCAAGCATAGAATACAAACCAAACCAAATGGGGTTCTGAGGAGGTAAGAAGGAGAATCCTCCTTTCTGCTGCTTGTATGACAGCTTTTAACACTAAAAGTCCCAGAGAATTTCAGTTTTCCTGCAAGTCCCCCTCCCCTCTTCAAGTTTTTATTCACTCTACCTACCTAAATGTCCCTATTGTAATGCAAATAACCTATGATATGACTAGCCCTTCTACATGAGACTGGATGAAGGCTGAAACAAACTGGCATCAGAACAAGAGCATAATCCAAGCACTTATTACCTGCCCCTGCAACATCAGAACTTTTTGCAGGAATAACTTGATAAGTCATATCTAAATTTTTTATTTAGGCAAACATTTTAACAACCAGATAATATACGGGTCCTATTTCCTGAGCTGAGAACAGGTCATAACCATGCTTTTCCAACAAGGCAAGGCATAGCCTATTTATATTGTCCATTCACCAACAGACTCATTTATATTGCAAAGTACACTATGTGAAAGAACAACTTAGAGAATAATTGTATTTTGTCCTGTCTCGCCTTTTCATGTCATTCAACATTTTAACTTAGAAAATGACAAACAGTATGACTTCAGTATTGGAGTAGCATTATTTCACCCAACAAAAAGCACAATATATGAAGCTACAATTGTCCCATATTTAGCAGTTTCCACAAACCCAAGGTGAGTCCTTCCTACATTTGCAACAGGTATACTTTGTGCAGTGCACACAACGCTCAGTACTGTGGTTCCTGTTGCACCTGAACTGCTTATAATAACAATGAAAAAATCTTTATTTAGTGATTTAGTGTTTTGCTCAATTTCAGCATAAAAATCCACAGGAAATAAATCCTACACAACCGGAGGTAAGATAATTCAAATCGGTGGCTGTTAGTGAGAGGTTGTTGTTTTTTTGAATTTGCATGCAAATGTTAATGCATAACTGATCTTTGTACCAGTGCATGAATAGGTGGGGCTGTAGTTTGAAGTGTTTTGAATGTCAGTGTCATTATTTCCTCTTTTACATTGAGCCAATCCCATTTGAAATGAAACCATTGAAAGGCTTTGATACTGCTGTGGCAGAAGGAGGTAGCTGGAGAAACTATATTTAGAAAGATGGATACACACTAGAAAGCCATAACTATATTCAGTCAAAAAAATAAAATTCAATGAAGTGCAGAAAAAAAAGGAGTTATGAAAGAACAGGAAGTAATTTAGGCAAAGAAGAAAGAAGAAAAAATATAACCAAAATAAAAAAGCAAAGACAAAAAAAAAAAAAACTTAGAGTCTCAAGGATCACACAGACGTGTTGCTAGAGCAAGAAAATCAAATCTGCCTTTAATGTCCAGCCATAGCTCACAAATTTAAATGAACACAATAAACGCCTCAATAAAAATGAGGAAGTTCAATTCAATTCAATTCAGTTTATTTATATAGCGCCAAATTCACAACACGTCATCTCAAGGCACTTTACAGTTCAACCAGATCATACAGTCAAATTGATACAAAGTTTTCTATCTAAGGAAAACCAGTTGATTGCATCGACTCATTGACTCAAATACAATCCTTCACATTAAGCATGCTTGTAGCGACAGTGGAGAGGAAAAACTCCCTTTTAACAGGAAGAAACCTCCAGCAGAACCAGGCTCAGTGTGAGCGGCCATCTGCCGAGGCCGACTGGGCTTCAAGGAGACACAAGCAGAGACACAAAAAGCAGCTGTAAAAGGCGAAAGGAAGTTGTGAAAGATGTTGCACCACAGAATTGCACAATAAGCTGATTTCTTTACTTTGGAAGATTCTCACACCGATTATACTGGGAGAGATTGCGGTTCTGACCAGGTGATTGTCGCTTTCTTTTCCTTTATGGTAAAAATGTAATTTTGTTATTTTCTACCCCTTAAAATGTCATTTTATGGGGTAGAAATTTTTTTAAATCTAATGAACCTGAACATTGAATGACTGTATGATAGATCCCCCGTGTTTTCCTTACAGAGATAAACAGCTACAAGGTGCAGGCACACATTTAGTTACTAAATGGAGACTGGCTGAGTTAGTCAAGCATTACCAGTAAGGAATGTAATATGATATGATCAGAAAGACAGAGCAGGTGTGTTTCATCAAGTTTTCGTGTTCATAATGTTTCTCCGTTTAGATTTTATTACTTAGACTTTAGACTTTACACAGCAGAATATTTATAGTTATCACACACCTGTTCATAAAAAGCTTTGAGACAGAGAGACATACAGACTTTGACCTCCAGACAACTACAGAGAGCTATTTAATCTCTGACTGGATAAAACATAGAGCAGTGAAGAACATTCTCAGATGTGGCTGCCAATATTAATACACATTATTTAGGAAGTCAAAAACAAGCCAGAACACCTTCAGTAGATGCTGCTTTACTTCCTTAGTTAAGGTCAGAGTTCAATGATAAACATTGCTGCTTCAGATGGCACTATTAATCTGGAGAATTATGTGACTTTTTTTTACAAAGATCAGATTGGTCGGTAAAGTTTTTTTTTTTTCTAAATTAACACTCAATATAATTAAATTTGTCTTTTTGTTCAGACAATCATTGTCTAATCTTGATATTTGTGGCTTAGTTATTATTGACTTAAAATGAAATAAGCAAAAAATAAAGCTTTAATGACCTCACAGATGGAATTACCTCCTCGACCAACTCTGTTTGACTTCCATGGCGTCTCCATGACCAGATACTTCACAGACAACTGGGACAATATTCAGCACTTTGAGGCGAGGCCGGATGATATTCTAATAGCAACTTACCCTAAAGCAGGTGAGCTCAGATACACAGAACCTTTACCCCGATTTAACTTTGTTAACTGAGCTCGTGTTTCTATTGCAGGAACCACCTGGGTTTCTTACATCCTGGATCTTCTCTACTTTGGGGACACAGTTTCCAACTCTCGTTCTTCTGTTCCTCTGCATGAGAAAATTCCTTTCCTGGAGATCTGTGTACCTCATCGACCTACAGGTTAAGTGCTTCAGGCCTTCCCACTCAGTAACACTGGCCTTTAAAAGTTTTTTTTTTTAGATTTTATCATCCTGCCACAACGGCTCACCTTTGCAGCTTCTTTTTAATCTTTCAGTTATTCGCCTGACCGTTGATATAGACAATATTAGGCCAGTAGCAATTCCTAGGATTTCCTGAGCTTTGAAGCTCCACACACATCCGTTGTTTATTAAAAGGCAAGAAGCTAAAATAAGCTGAATGTTTTGTTAAACGAGAAGAGTTCCCTGCTGTGGCAACCACATTGAGTCAACTACAATATCCCCTCTTTACTTTCCACCTGCGCTGTATAAGTTAAATAAAAGCTTAAACCATAGGTCAGGTAGTGTAAGAAAAAGGATATACGGTATATAAAACCTGTGAGATACTAGATCTTAAATGAAATGATACAGCAATGTACACATCATATGAATTCAAATTATAAATCAATAAATTGATATGAAATTTCCCCATAACTCAACATCATAAATCTCAAAAACAATTTCTATTTTCAAGTTAAAATGTAAAGGGTACCTGGAAAATAAGAGGAATATATAGGAATAAATGTACTTCAACTGATGATTTTTTTGGTGATTTAATCCATCAGTAATGACATATTATCTTATTTTAAGACCATGTACATAGCTTCACTATGTAACAATATTTGTGGAGGACAGTGTATATTTGCAAGGTCAATTAACTAAATAGTTAGCATCTGAAACATTATGCAATGTTATTTACTGATGTACTGCTTGTACCCTACAGCAAGCCTCTGATATAGACTAAGTAAAAAGTCCCCACTCCTCACTTTGTGAGATATTTAAGAGCTTTGCTGCATGTATGATCAGTTTCATTGCCTTACTTGTTTTTATGAGGGAAATCTTTAATACAGAGGACCTGAGTTCAACTCCCTGTTGCATGAGGAAGGAGCGTATAGTGGAAAATCTCTGTGCAAGTTACAATGACTTCTTTAGGAGGGATTTCATATTCTTCTGAGGCCTCTTTGAGTCCCTTACCCAGCTCACAAATTCTAAGGATATAGGGAATTATTAAGTCTCAACCCTCTGTTGAATTACTTAATTAATGAGCACACCAAGTGAAATACTGTATGTCTGGCTTAGAAATATGATTGTCAATCTGAAAGGGGAGTAAAAAGGTTTAATAATGCAAATCTAACATGAAAGGCTACATTCGGTTTCATAATTTATTTCTCTCCCGAAACTGCATTATAAAACTATTAGTTTGTTTGTTTCTTTGTTTTTCATTGGTTCTTTATATTTATATATGGATTATTGTTTGTAAAGCACTGGTCACAGCAAGTGGTCTGATTTTAGTCACCTATTATTTTAATAAGAGCTTTAAAGAATGATTCACTGTTTTTTAGCAAATTAATACATATTAACACTTTGTACTTCCAATTTTTAATAATTTAGTGTATTAATTAAGTTGAATCTTTGTTTTGATCTGTCTGTCCAACAAATTGTTTAAAGACTCAGTTTTATTTTTTAAATAAGCCGTTGTGAACTGCAGAATCTAAACATATCTGATTATGCACATAATTAGCTGAAACATCTCCTACTCCATATAAAGGTAAAGATTTGGCAGACCAGCTCCCTACTTCTCCACGTCTCATTAAAACACACCTACCAGTTCAGTTTGTGCCTAAATCCTTCTGGGAGCAGCGCAGTAGGGTAAAACACCCACTCTTGCACTATATGTACATCATTTGTAAAAAAAAAAAAAAAAAAAAAAAAACAGAGATAAAGCTAATTTGTTGTTCTTACTTTACCAGATTGTATATGTGGCACGTAATGCAAAAGACAGTGCAGTTTCCTATTTTCATTTTGGACGCATGAATCATATCCAGCCAGAACCAGGGGAGTGGAGCTGCTTTCTGCAAAACTTCATGCAGGAAAAGAGTAAGGATACTAGGGTAACGAAATGAAAATGTAATTTAATTTCTTTTCGATATATTTTTGGAAAATATATTGTTCTGTGCTTCCAGTGGTGTTTGGATCATGGTATCAGCATGTGACGGCATGGTGGGAGAAGAAGCAGACTTATTCTAATATTCACTACATGTTCTATGAGGACTTGATTGAGGTGAGAGGAAATGTGCGTAATACATAAGCTAGTCCTATAGTTAGAAAATAACTGACCTTTTTAATTCACAAAAAATAAAAAATAAAAAATTTTGGTTGGTGAGAATATGTTTAGTATGCTCGTTTCTATTTTCATTGTTTGTTGGAATATTACTAATATCTTTAAATTACGGGTGTGAAAAGTCGTGTGAATCTGATTCAGCAAAAAAATTGCAATTTTTTTACTTTAGCCATTTATCATTTGGAAAACAGTGCAGTAATGAATTTGTAGTCCAAACAGGACACAATAACTGGTCAATTACTTCACCTATAGTTGGTTAAATTTGTTTCCCTTAAAAAAAGCAAACAAAAAAAAATCCAACACACAGCTTTTCTACCTACATTAAAATATTTCATCCCTTAAATCACTGCACTAATATGTGCTTGTAAGATTTTTCCGTCTGTAATGCACTGCACTGATTTTTGATCTCAACATATATTTCAGAGCATGCAAAGACAACCATTTATTTTTCTTAATTTTTAACTATCATATTAATTTCCAACAAAATTCTGCTTCCTAAATCAATACCCAAATTTACCATCTCTGTATTGTTTTTCTCTTTTTCTCCAACTGTACCTTGGCTTCAATTTCTTATTTTTATTAACATGTAGTAGTCTGCATAATTTGTTTTTTAATAATTCATAGGACTCCAGAAAAGAAATCAACAGACTGTGTTCGTTTCTGGGCTTGTCTCCGACAGCTCAGCAGAGGGAACATGTCAGATCTAAGGTGACATTTGAAACTATGAAAGAAAACAAAATAACCAACTACTCCACTGTCCCAACGATGAACCACAGTGTATGTCCTTTCATGAGGAAAGGTTTGTGAAAGGATTTAAAGAAAAAGTCCAATCCAATTTGATTAGCTTCAGCTGAATTTATGATTGATTTAATCCTTTATTATTTACAGGAACTGTAGGAGACTGGAAGAACCATTTCACCGTATCCCAGAATGAACAGTTTGACGAAGACTACAAGAACAAAATGAAGAACACTGCTCTGTTCTTTCGAACTGAAATATAAGGATCCTGTGTTATGTCACAAAACATCCCAACTGGAAGAAAATCAAAGGATCAAATCTCACCTGTGACATTTCTGTGTAGTTTGGACATTTTTTTATGTATATGCTTTGGTTTACTTTTACAGTCTAAAAAAACATGAAGGCTTTTTAAATACTGTAAATAGCTCCATTGTATGAAAGACATGGTTATCTCAACTCTGATTGTCTCTAGTTTGACCCTGTGAAGAACTGATCTCTTCATTTAATGACTGTCGACTGTCCAGGCCTGGAAGGGATAATTTTTGTCCAGAAGAGGTTGTTTAAAAGACATGAAACACAATTAACCAGTGGAAAACATTGCTGTGTGACGAATGTAAACCATTTAAAATGTGGAATAACATGCCTTTCAATGTCCCCTAATGTGAAGTAGATATCATAATAATAAGACGAATAATTACTACTGTTTTTACAAAGAGAGGCTTAACTGTCATGTCTTGGTTTATAGGAGGGCCCTGAGTACAGAGGCTAAACTGAAAAAACAGTGTTCTTTAATAAAACATAATAAAAAGACAGAAGAATCTGGGAGAAACTACTGGGGCAGATGTGGAAAGACAACCCATGAGCTGAGCTGAAACACAAATAAACCATAAGCCTTGGGGTAATCCGAGATCTAAGATAAAAATAAAATACAAATGTAGAAAGAACAGAACACAAAAGTAAACTTAAGAAGCTAACAGCAAAAAAAAAAAAAAACTGGTAGAACATAAACTGAAGATAAGATAATACTCAAAGCCCAAACACCTGCAGACTTCTGCAGGCTGAGATTCTCATCAGTTCAGCTACAGATTGTGTCACTCTTTTTAAATAGGTGCAATGTTTTATTTGAGGATGCCAACTTGTTCTGCAGTGATTATGGACTTGATGTTTCTGGAAGACACAGATTTTTCTGGTAAAGATCTAACAACTTTTCAATGGAGCTTCACCACATTGGCCCTTGAGCAGAACACTTTTTTTAAGAAGGTGGTCTTCTTATGATTGCCTGTTTGCTGAAAGCCGGAAATTTATTAGAGAGATGAGTCCACTCAGACACAAGGCATGATATTGTAATGATCTGGAACAGGGTAAGAATGGATGTGAAAGAGAGAATTTCAGCTGTTTCGCACCGCTTGTCCTTTGACCCAAAAATCTCAGACGATCAACTTGAGACCTTTTTACACAAGGATCTAAAACCATAAGAGTCTAATCTGTTTAATATTATGAGTACTTGACATTTATGTTTTGTGCATTGCAATTACATCATATTCATTGTCCAACCTGGTACTGCTGCAAATATGTTATTTATTTTAATAAAAATGTGTTGTTCTGTCCAACTTGCTGTGTTGGGACTTCAAATGAAAGTGTGAAACAAGCTGATATTCATGGTCAAACAGCTATCTCTGTAAAAAAAAAAAAAAAAAAAAGAGAGAGAGAGATCCATTGGCATGTGCTCAAGCCAATTCCCAAAGAAAATTCAAGGAGGTTGATAAAACAGATAAAACATTTGGTTGGATAATATTTTATTAAATGTAATGTAGTTAATTGGTTATTACATAGTTCATGTAGCCCGGAACAAAAACAATGAAAAACAAACACATACTTTTGTCAAAACTGTGTTTTGCTGGACATATTTATGGTCTGTAAAAATATGCTCCAGAGAAACATACCTTTAAACAGTGAGATAACAAATGAAAAAGGATGGGGCTTAGATAAGAAGCTGACTTTGCACTGTTTATGTTAGCCACACGCAGATAGGCAATCATTCAGGTAAGCTAATGCACTGTTCCTTATTAAACATTTTTCTTTTGAACTGTTCAGAAGCTGTATATATATATATATATATATATATATATATATATATATATATATATATATATATATATATATATATATATATATAACATACTATAAGATGATTAAAGTTACACTTTTTTAGTAGATTGTATTTGTATTTGTATGTCAAGTGTGCATGGTTTATCGTGCCTTTTAATGGTTTTTCATGGGTCCCTGCATGTCAATCTAACTACTAATAATAGAGACAAGATTTTTTATTTTTTTTTAACACTTTACTCTTCTTTATTTTTATTATCTTCTATTTTCTCTTCTGATGACCATATCTTAAGTTTTTTTGAATTGTGGTTAATCTGGAAGAGTTCTTTTTCAGTCAATTTCTCTTTCAACTTATTTTTATAGAAGTATGATAAGCAGGCATGAAAATGAGCACTTCTATACCTTCAAATTGCATTAAGGTATAGAAGAGTTAGTCAACAGGCTTTTTTTTCTGTCAGAGCAGTAACAAGACTGCAGTTTCATTTTGCTGTTTTTTTTCACTAGTAAGGACATTATCTGCACACACATTATCTGCACACACATTTATGGCATTTATGGACATTTATGGACATTTATGGCATTTTTTAAATATTAGGATATTAAGAAACAGAAAGCGCTCGCACCTCCAGCTCTAATCCGGGTATAATATTTTATGGGTTGTAAAAAACTTAAAAACAGGCTAATTTAAATACCTGCCTTGCTCTGACAGTGCACTTTTTTCCTGTTTATTTGGTTGATTCATTTTTATTAATTTAGGTGTCTTACAAGATTTTCTCTACCGTTTTTCAGGTCAGATTCTTTCAGCTGTGGTTTGATTTGTTTTATGTGCAGAAAAAAGTTTTGCCTTACCTGAAAAAGTTAAATTAAACACCCAGCAGATGGAGTTGCCACCACGACCTACTTTGTTTGACTTCCATGGAGTCTCCATGACCAAATACTTCACTGATAACTGGGTTAACATACAGAGCTTTAAAGCGAGGCCAGATGATATTGTGCTGGTGAGCTATCCAAAAGCAGGTGGGTGTTTCAATACACCATTGGAGTTTAAATTTGCTACAGTTTATGATATAAATTTATTTATTTTGTACTTCTAAGGAAACACATGGGTCTCTTACATCTTGGACCTCTTGTACTTTGGCAAGACATCACCTAACCGACAAAACTCTGTTCCACTTCATGAAAGAGTGCCGTTTCTGGAGATCAGCATACCTGGATTCCCCTCTGGTAAATTCATCTAAAAAGGTGACTTTAAATTCTGAAATTTTCAATAGAAAATGTTTTATTTTTTGTTTTTGTACCAGGAGTGGATGAGCTGAATTCATTAAACATTTTTCCACGGATTATCAAGACGCACTTGCCAGTCCAGTTTCTTCCCCAATCCTTCTGGGAACAAAACTCCAAGGTTTGTTGTTTTGCAGATAAAAATCCCTCTATATTTTATTGCATCCTTTGGTGACAATATGTAAAAAACCCACTATGAGAGATATCTTTTATGTAAAAAATGGGACAACACCTAGTCTTCTCCTTTAATATTTTGCAAAGTTATAGCCAACAGGAAGAAGGATTTTCGTCCATTTTGCACAATCGCTCCCAGATTGTCCAAAGTCCATGGTCCTCCAGTGCTCCCTTCACTTAGGCACACCCAAAGCTTTTCTTTATGACTTACTGTGTACTACTGGGTACTAAGATAGAATACTGATTAGGGTACTTTGGATTTATATATGATATAATTCAACAATTTAGAGTATTTTAAGGAGTTCATGCTGCATGTATGAAGAATTTCCTATGCTTGGGGTGTCAGGGTTGGTGTATGTTGGTGTATGTTGTAGCAGACCAAAATGTAGAGTAGAAGAGGTAGAGATTACAACAATTACAAAATCCATAGTCCAGAACTGATCAACAAGCAGGTGTAGACAGAGTAACTAGAAGGAGCTAAGGAGAAAAGGAAAGGACACTAGGGGGCAACATAGAATAACCAGAAACAACAGCATAAAACTAATGACTAAAAAATAAGGTATGACCAAGGGAAAAACTAGAGGATACGGAAGGGACTGGAGATTACTGAAGCCATGGAAAACCTAACCTAAAGATAAGAAAAAGAATAAATATAATTAAAACTAGACCAAGTAATAAATAATACCAAAAATGTTGAAGATAAGAGATAACCATGAGAGAAAAACTAAGAATAATAAAAAAAATTATCTAAATCTAGACAACACAGAATACACACAAAATAAAAACTTAAACAGAAACAAAAGGTCCAAAATGTAAGATAATACCATGGGATAAAAAAATAAATAAGCAGCCAACATTACATGTTCTCCACCCAGTTGGGCTTCCTTATGTGAATTTCTGAGTTTCCCAGGATGACATTAAAATGGGCGACCCCAATAACGACCAATAGGAAAACAAATATTGCCAGGTGTGTCCTTAACATATTTTCAACTGTTTCTGGTGAAAACAAGTACAGGGTAGCGTCCCTGATGTTTCCCTGCCTGGTCCTGTGAGGTGCAGCACAGTATTTTAACCTAGCCCATCTAATTTTCTCATTTAATTGATTAAAGGGGAGTAGAGAGAAGATAATATCACTGCCACTGATTCAAGCATACTTCAAATTGAGCATTAGGTGTTTTTCCAACTATTTATCTATAGTACCATGACAACTTTGGACTGCTTCTTGCTCAAATGTCAATAAGAACGTTAATCTAAACAAAGCACTGTCAAGACTCAGACAGTGGAACAGTGGGATTACTCAAAAGCGTTTATCAAAATAAACAGGCGGATTGGAGTAGCTATTGCTAAGGCGGCTGAGGCAGGAAACTCGGCAGGAGAGAAACGCAGGTTAGTGACCACGTATATCTAATGGAGGAAGATTATTAACATGAGTCACTAACCTGGTTTACAAGTTCAGTCCATAGCCATAGCAGGAGGTAGGATCCAGCCGGTAGGCTGCCAATGAGATGCGGTGGGCACATATCCCAGATACTGCAGGCCTGCAGAACATGCAGGAGTCCGAAGCCAGGTCAGGTAGAGATCAGAACATAAACAAGCTGGCTCAGAGGTCCAGGACTCCAAAGCCAGGTCAGGAAAACGGATCAGAACAGGAATGTGCAGGTTCAGAGGTCCAAGAGCCCAAAGTCATCAGTGCCAAGATCACCAAGCTCACCATTCCTATTTAATGGGAATGGTGCCTCTAACAAATTCCAGTTTTTGCTAATATACATCTGTAATAGCAGAAAAGAAAGTGTTTTTTTCTAGGATGCTTGCCAAACATCCTGTTGGCTCTTGAACAGCATTTAAAAATTGTTTACATGAACATCCATAAGATGCCACAGACTGTTCTTGTTCTTCACAAGAGAGCTGTGGAGGCCTGCCTTCCTGCAGTGCAGGGTGGCAGGCTAAACCTGCGACAAACCTTCAAATTTTGAAGAGTGGCAAGCAGAGATGGTTCTCTATGCTATCTTTAAACAGACATAGTAAATTTACTTTGTAGAAAAATTATTGTCATTTTCATACTTTAATGTTAGAGTTTGATTTTTCTCCACTTATCAAATGTAGACATATTAAAGGTTGAATATCTATATGCCACTACAAAAGATGCTATGTTTGTTCAACACACCCCTGTATACAGCAACAGTCTTTATTCCCTGTATTTCTTTTTTTTAACTACAGATAATCTATGTAGCTCGCAATGCAAAGGATTCAGCTGTTTCATACTTTCATTTTGATCGCATGAATAAAGCCCAACCAGAGCCTGGTGATTGGGGCAGTTACCTGCAGAGATTCATGGATGGCAAAAGTAAGTTAACAAACTAAAGAATAACTGGAAATATAAATATAACTTTGCTGCTTTTGATTCGACTCTCTTTCACCTTTCAGTGGTGTTTGGTTCCTGGTATGACCATGTGGAAGGCTGGTGGGAGAAGAGAAAGACCTCTTCTAATATCCTGTATTTGTTCTATGAGGATCTAATCGAGGTGGGTGGTTAGGCCTCATTTTTTCAGAATGAATATACAAGCACAGCGTTGGAGTGACATTCTTTGGTAGGATACTGAACGAGAAATCAGCCGGCTTTGCTCCTTCCTGGAACTATCTCCCTGCGCAGACCTGAAGAAAGAAGTAACAGAAAAGTCTAACTTCAACAACATGAAGCACGACAAAATGGCCAATGGCTCGGCGGATGAAGTCTTTGATTTTAAGATCTCCCCTTTCATGCGCAAAGGTCAGATCTAAGTTCCTACCAGTCTCAAAAGCTTTTCCAAAAGTGGATTTTGAAATACTAAAATCTCCAGTTTTTAATGCAATACATTGTTCTCAATGATACTGGGTGCATGGCAATTGGAATGCTGCATAATTTTAATGGTGTTCATTAAGGGATGCAGAATTTTTTGATTTTCACAAATAATTTCTTTGATCAGTTTTGATATATCAGAATGTAACATGTTCATCCAAATTGATTTTAGGGGATTCAGTTCAAAGATCCTGGGAATAAACAAGATTGTTGTCACATCTGTAAGCTAGGGCTTTAGCCAAAGCATACAAATGTGAGCATGTCTCATTAGAACAGGCAAATTTAGTAATTACAGTAATTTGTATTGATGGCGAGTGTAAACTGGAAAAAAAAAACTGTATACTAAAAATCAATCAGAAGGTTTTGCAGCAAACTAATTCTTAAAGTATTACTTTTTTAAAGTTAAAATATACAGGGTTTATCATCCATCTAAGGTGGAAATAATTATGACATTATCATAGTTACATGTGTAATTATGAAAATGTCTAGGAGTATACATTTTTGAGATCCGGTGTATGCAGGGGAAAAAGTAATCAATAAATCTGAAAATAGTAATATCATGCTGTTGTCATTTTGCTGTTTCTTCCTTTTCAGGAAAGGTTGGTGACTGGAAGAATCACTTCACTGTTAAACAGGATGAAGAGTTTAATGAGGACTATGAGAGGAAGATGAAAAATACTGATCTTCTCTTTCGCATGGTTCTATAGCTAATCTACACTGCAAAATAAATGTCTGAACACAAATAAAAACAATCATACCCATTTGAAGATGCTTTGTTTTTATTTAACTCCAGATATGAAAAGCAGCAGATAATACAGGAAGAAAAAAAAAATCATGAGCAAAGTAAACAGGATACATGACAATTATTTTCTATGGCACATACTGCTTCATGGGACAACCCTGAGGGAGGAGGAGGCCAATAGTAAAATAAGTTCTTATACAGTGAAATAAGACCGGCTCACTGGAATGTCAACAGCAACAAAAAGCTGTAAACAAAAAAACTCAAAAAACATCTCACATCAGTGGGAGGTTCTGCAGGTCAAAAGTAACCAGGAAACTAGTTTTACGGAGGAAAAAAGGCATCGGTAACTACATTTTATGACAAATATGTTTCTTATTTCATTAAAATCAGTATTTTTTCTAACAATGTACATATTCAAAATGCAGTGACTAAACAGAAACATTTTAATATGAAATAACAGACTGCACATGGCTCAACAAACAAGTTTTTTAATAACAAAAACATAGAAAGAACCTAAATCCAACAGATTTATATCATTATTTATAGACATGTATATTTTAAAACCTTCCCTAACATAACAATGCAGGGCTCAGGAGGTCCTTTAAATATCTCAGTTCAGCCAAGTTTACCTCACAACTTTCTCCTCGTCATCAGCACAGCTCATGAGCTGCATCCACACTCAGGTTGGAATCCTTTTTTAACTCATGTTTAAAGTTATAAATCAAGCTTTTTTTTTACCCTTTAAAATTAGTTTCCAACACTCAGATGAATGCATGTAGGGAAAATCCTGTCTTTAAAAGTATTTTTCCACAAACTTTTATTAGAACACTTAATAGATGTACACTTTTGAAGACATATTGACAAAACAAAGCCAAAAATAAAGAGTAAGCTTATTTTTCTTAATCTGGCTTTCTTTATACCCCAAATTGTCTTGAGGTTCAACACCAGATGAACGCTTTCAGTCAAAGAACAAACTTTATTATTATATGCAGATACTTTTTAAATAGTTGAATTAAAATTAGATATAATTTGAAAAGCTAGGCGTTTATTGACTTATTGAATTTTTTAATAACCTTGATTTACAGTAATTATACTGTAAGAAAGTTGCCAAAGTGGGTGTTTTTTTATTGTTGACATTTTTCACCTATTTTGCAGTACAGCCGAAGGCACCAAATCATTCGAAAAATTTCAGCTATCAGTCAGTTTGGGGGTTAAAAAAAAGTCCAAAACGGGCACTTCTATAACTTCTTTAAATTATTAGAAAATAAAATAGCTTCTTTTTCTTTCTTTTTTTCCTTTTTTTTTTTTTTTTACTTAAAGTGAAATTTTAAGTTTCAAAGAAGACTAGAGACTAAAAACTGCATTGCGGATCACCTATAAACTCAATTTCTGATAGAAATTGAGTTTAGCCGACAGATCTCAAAGATTCCAACCTGAGCTTTTAGCAATACAGCTTTAGAATGTCTCTCATAGTAACAAGATTAGGTCTCAAACACAACTTTATTCATGAACAACAGAAAGGACAATCTGTACATTATAACCTGACATTGTTTCTTTACACTATAGTTGTATAATACTTCAGTATATACAGATAAGTGCTTTGTTGCTGACTTAGGTCTAATATAGGTGTTCTTCAAGCCATGCCAGTCATGTGTGTTGCAGCCTTGCAAAGCTGTGCAGCATATTATCAAATAATTCAATTATTTTGAAACTATTTCTTTAAAAAATCTGATTCAGATTCTGCAAAAAATGCACTCTTAGGCATTGAAAAATGTTATTGATCCCACAAGCATTGCTCTGCAGCAGTATAAGATAATTAAATGCACTGAGATCACAGGGGAAGTTTAATTAGGGAATAACACCATATACCCAAAGTAGCATGTGAGCCATCTCTGGTTTCCGGTGACTGTCTGCATCTTTATGCAACCAGCTTTAACTTACGAGACAAAACAAACAAGTACAACAGCAACAACAAGATAAGAGCTTAGACGTATTCTAATCTGCTGTTGAGTCATAATGATACAAATGCTAAGACCCTAGAGAAGCAACAGCATAGGAAGCAGTAATGGTTATGTATGGCACATTTTTACATGACATAAGCAAACAGTAGAAAGTCTAAAAAAAATTTACAACCAATGTTATGCTGAGAAATTATTTCATGGACATAAATGGGACCTTTGTGACAATCTTTATGGGGAGTTGAACATTGTAACCTATTTTCTTATCATATTTCATTACTAATGGTGACTGACCTCTGCTTCATCCACAAAGTGTTTGGTCAAGAGTTTTGGATAAAACAAAAAATAAACAAGAACACAAATAGGTCAGATTTTCAGCAACAAAAATATTATTGAGGATTTTGTCCCCATCCCTACAATTTCTAAATGATTACATCTGCTCCAAACTTTATGAAATGTGCAATTGTGACACAGCCTGTAAAAACCTGCCTACTCAGACTTTACTCAGATGTGGATCAGATCAGAAGAGAGAAGCCAAAGTTGTTCTTGGAAGTTGGATTTTCCCCAGTTGCAGTCATAATAAACAAGAGCATCCTCTAAAGCTGAATTTTCTACAGAGCTAAGAGCTAACCCAAAGTCCAGAATCCACTATGGTTGTGTTTAGTCAAAATGTATGTATAATGTATAAACTAAGAGATTCTGATTATTGTTTGTCTTTAGACTAGCATTAAAATAAGTGCTTTAAAATATCGGGTTCAGAAACATTTACTTTTGTGTTTAAATTTATCTGAAAGAGAGAAATATATTGTTTTTGCTATGTTCTGCTTGTGGGAATTAGCATCGTAACAAATACCATTTCCTCTTGTTTTCAAACTTGCCACTACAATGCGCTTTACCCATAAGTTGGAAGTACTTCACAGTGGCTACTCTAGATCTACTCTAATATTTAAACACTTCAAATAGTTAAATAGCAGAAGTCTGCCTTATTTCTATCAAACCTAAAATCAGTTTTTAGAACAAAAAACACAAGAAATGTGCAAGATATAATTTGTGCCTCACAAGAGAAACCCTGTAAAATCTCCAATATAGGTCTACATCTCTAAAAATGGCTTTGGTTAGAGAATGAATTGATTCGTCTTCTGAAGCAAACAAAGCAAGTGAATGTTTGGTTAACCCATTTCTCTAAGCCATTTCCATTAATGTTAGGTACCAAGGAATAAACAAACCAGCTCTTGCAGTGGAAATATCAGGGTTGAAAAAAAAGTCCCAGAAATGTGACCAGTTGTGACCTGGAGTTTATAAATGTGCCAAAATGTCTCATTTTATGTTAAAGGTTAACACAAGTTACCTACAGTGATGCCAGTTCCTCCTTCCAAAACAACGTTAAGGGGTATGATAATTAGATCTATATCTGAAGATCTATATCTGATCTAATATCTTAAGTGCAGTCATTGGTCTTAATGTCCATCATGTGGTTCAAAGGTCTATAATTTCACTACTGTAACTTGCAGAGTCGTCATGTCGGCTCACCTCCAGGTAACTGCGTGAACCCACAGGTCTCCCTGCTCTCCCTCTTGCCCTTTCAGAGTCTGGGGTAATAAACGGCCGCGTGTCGTCCACATCGTCAGCACCTAGATGCCCTGTAGATGTCCTGGAGGGACGAAGCGACACCGGGCAGGACACCGATGAGGGAACGCTAGCCATGGCGTTCCCACCCCACCTGTGACCTTGATGGGATGGCGTGGGGGGAGCAGTCACCTGCCTGCTGGGTACGCTGCTGAGAATACTTCCCCCTAGAGGCATAGAGGACTCTGTTGGGGCTTCACTGCTCTCAGAAAGCAGCTGAGGGTCACTGTTTCTGCGAAGCCACTGCTCCTGGCTGATCCCAGAGCCCGGAGAAGGAGTCTGAATTACAGGGTGGAACAGACTCCCTCCTGTGAGCAAGTGTTCTCTGTGCAGAGCTTCATCGATGCTGCGAGTTAGGTTAATGGGGGAGGGTGGTCGCAGGTCAAATTCATAGAAGGACAGAGATGTATCTCTGTCCTGATCCAGACTGCCACTCACAGAGCGCTGTGGAGGCTGACCCAAAGTCTGCAGTCTCAGCAGGGAGCCAGTTGAGTCTTCAGATACACCTCGTTCGGCAGAGTGGCCCCTGTGGTTACGTCCGTGGTTGCTGTCTTTGATCGAGCGCAGCTGTGCCGAGTTCTGCTCATGGTCCTGATTCCTAATAAGACTCTTGCTGATATCAGCTCCAGGTCGCTCTTGTCCCGCCCAGTTGTTAGGCATCTCTCCTGTTCCTCCTGCTCCAACACCATTACTGTCAGACTTTCTGCAGGGTTTTCCTCTCAGACTCTGCACTATTTTAGACCAGCAGGTATGCCTTTGAGGGGAGCCTTCCGACTGACCAGGAGATGGGAGGTTCCCTGTGTGGCCATCTTGCCCTCCTTCCTCCCTTGCCCGGCAAGTCGTAGGTCTCCAGAACACCCAGGAACCCATGAGAAGTAGAAAAAAGCCCCACGTCAGTTCCAGTAGCCGAGCACAGAAATGCACCAACCACCAACCCCAGCTGAAGCGTCTCCAGTCTCCTAACAGTCCATAGAGCCACAAGGTAGCATGGACATGCAAGCCACAGCACAATGCTCCAAGCACTGCACAGATGGCTAGCACTTTTCCCAGAATCACACCTGTTCTTTGGCTCCCGGTCCAAGTTTTCCTCCTAGCCTCTACAGAAACACCAGGATGAGGAAGAGCAGGGCAACGTATACGTGGAAATACGTAGCAAAGATAGCCAAAAGAGAGCCCTAAGCCCCAACATAAGGACAGGACCTGTAGGGTGACGGGCACTACGGGAGACAGAGCTGGAGACAACAGATCAGCAGCTAACAGCAGTGTACACTGCAACACAGTGAGCACAGCAACCAAAGGGGGTTGTTCTAAGGTTGAAGGTAAAACAGTGATTCCTGGTACCCTTAGTGCAAGAAGTACCAGGGAAGCTTGAGCCCATACCAGCAGGTGAAG